ATGATATTATATGCAAAATAGTTGCACATGATTGATCTCATCCAGAAAACATTTGCAGACACAAATAGCCCCACACACAGGTATTTGAGAGATGAAGATCCCCAGCACCATCTGCAGACATGTATGCGATTTACTTGGTACATTTGTTAGCTGTTTCTACTTTGGAGAATAAAAAGTATAGATATTCTAGCTACAAGCCACACTACAGGCTATTTGGATAACAGAAAAATTTGTTAATAGAATAGATAATAGAACAGTTCTAGATATTTACAATTTAATATTTTTCTCACATTTTTGTCATTAAAAGTCTCATTATATTATAATCATTATTATGATATTATGATCATAAAAATACAGTGCTCAGCGTAACTGAGTACAGCCCATTTCGAAAATGAATATTTATATCTATTTCTTGGTCAATATCTGCAATGTATTTTGGTGCGTTTAAACAAAACAAATTTATTAAACCTATTTGTTTATTTAAATAATAGTTTAGTCATCAAACTAGTTTAGAAATGGAAAGATAATAAAATTGAATTCAAGCTAAATATTGCAAAAAAAATTACAACTACAAAATTTGTACTAGTTTTTGGACCGTTATTATATGTTTATTTATTCGATAAGCTCCACATTTGGCTTAAGTACTGACTAATATACTAATATATGCACAAATATAAAATTGTACAGCTTTCTATTAAAAATATGAATTTAAAAGATTGATTTGTGACGGCGGCACTTATATATGCTGAGCACTGTACATTAATATTTTAATTTTAGCATCTTTCTTCCAGACTTCAGTTCCACAAGTTATGCATTAATGTTATATTTTTAGAAATTGAAGTATACTACAACTATATTTATTGCAGTACAGTTTGTGTGCAAGTCTAAAACAAAGATCAGCCATTTAAAGCAGACAGCTCATGCATTTGAAATAAATAGCATCCATTTCCGGTGCATCTCTAACTGTTGTCTCATGTGTACTTTCAGACTAGGTCCACTGTATTTTACCATGGTCCGCTCACTTTGAAATTCAAGTCTTCTGTGTTAATTTGGTAGAGCAGGCAAAGTCCCTTTAAGGCAAGTCATTTTACTTGGCGGCCATCTTTAAAACAACTTTCGGGCAGTAAGCTAGGGCGTTTTTTTCAGAATGGGGAAACATCAAATTCTTAAAAACGGTTTGCCAAGCTTATGATTACATTACATATTTGGAATCACCAATAAAATTAAACAACATCTGTCTCATAAGTTTTATTTCTAAACGTTGAAATCGAAGAAAATCAGGTTGTCCAGGCTATTGCACATGCCTACTAGAAAGGAACAAGACCACAACACCAATCTTTTTAATGGCTGTTCCACACATTATCATCCTCTGAATAATGCTTCGTCAAATCGTGCTTGTCTTCTGAAGTAATTCACAAATTGGTCTTGATGGCGAATCTCCTATTGAAATGAGAGCGACTATTTGTTAAAAGTTTGTGGGTGTTTGAGTAGTTGCTGTCTTGTGATGTGCGTTTGACAGGATGGACTGTACCTCACGTTCGTTTTTTACAGATTACAAAACAAAAAAGCTTTTCAAATGTGGTTAATTCATTTAAAAGTTGAGATTTGAAGCTTTATGTAGATATATACATCTGTAAAGCAAGTATGTGCTTTGCTTTGAGATTCCAGTGCTTTTGTTGACCACCAAACTATCGTAAAAGCACATGTCGGGTCTGAGCTTCTCCCTCAGAGAAACATTCAGTCTATAGCGATCGATGATTGGCTCCTGTACTAGTATGCAGGGCTTGATTCACCATATTGACCGTTACACTGTTCCCCATTCAAAGCTATACAAGTGACAAGTGCCTTGTTTATCCTATAGTCTTTGGTGTAGGGTATAATGTGTTGTGAAAAAGATTTGTATCCATCAGTGTCGTTTAAGGGATTAATTAAAACAAAAGCCTTACAGAAAAAGCTGAATGGAAGAAAGAAGGAGGATAAGAAGCAGAGAAAAGGATAGGGCTGGAAATAATGTAAGAGGGAATGCCAGACATTAGTAATCATAAAGACGGTGTCCCTGTCATGTCATCCCCTCTCATCTCGTTAGCTAATGAACTCCGCTTACACGCTCTCTTGCACAGGCTGATCTGAAGTCAGCCCTCAGGGCCTAAAGCAGCTCTAACATATGTTTCTAAGTGAATTACTTCTTATTACATCAACAGGTTGTGCACATTGTTGAGGACAGCATGTTAGGTCTTCATTTTACCCATGAGCACCTATTACAGCAGTTCAGCAGACACAAAATAACACACACTTCCTCCTGGATTTCAACCAGGTTCGGCTTCGGCCCAGGGGACAAATGAGGTCCATAAATTTGGTGATTTCAGCCTTTTTAAAATTCATTGGGTCTCAGAGGCGGCCCAAATATAAGAGCTATCATGGCAATGCTGTAGTTTGATTGAATTCCTATACTGTGAATTGCTGAGGTCATATAGTACGGCTGTACGAGCTGATGTCGAGTGGACTACTGAGACTATAGCAGTGCTAATGGAAATCTATAGTCAGTTCAGACTGCTTCGCTGGCGGTGATGGCCACGCAGCGTCTTCATGGCAGACAGACTTTAGGAATGGAGGCTGAAGGCAGCTTGTTTCCAATTGAATCTTGACGCTTCTTTAAATATCACTCAGACAACAGAAAATCTATTCCCTGAAGGCCACAGCCTTTGGGTTTCTATTTCTGACCTTGACACTTTTGACCCTTCAGGAAAAACAGTGGCTGTTGGGTCTCTTATGCCTACCGCATGTTTGTGTCCTCCAGGGACACTATGATAAGGGGACATTGCTTGATTGGTTGAACCAAAGTGAGCAGCTGAATTCTTTAATAAAAGGCTCTTTAATAAGGCTGTTAGCACATGTGATGGTTATTTTACAATATATATTTTTTCTTGTGGTGCTAAGTTGATTGATTGATTGATTGATTGATTCATTCATTCATTCATTCATTCATTCATTCATTCATTTATTCATTGGTTTGTTAGTTGGTTGATTCATTCATTTATTCATGTTTTATTCATTGGTTGGTTGCTTGGTTAGTTGATTATTTGGTTGGTTAATTGATTGATTGATTGATTGATTGATTGATTGATTGATTGATTGATTGATTGATTGATTCATTGATTCATTCATTCATTCATTCATTCATTTATTCCTTTATTCCTTTATTTATTCAGCCGTTCATTGATTGATTCATTTATTTATTCATTTATAGATTCATCCATTCGTTGGTTGGTTGGTTGATTAATTGATTGATTGATTGATGGGCGAGGCAGTGGCGCAGTAGGTAGTGCTGTTGCGTCACAGCAAGAAGGTCGCAGGTTCGGACCTCGGCTCAGTTGGTGTTTCAGTGTGGAGTTTGCATGTTCTCCCTGCCTTCGCATGGGTTTCCTCCGGGTGCTCGGGTTTCCTCCACAGTCCAAAGACATGCAGTACAGGTGAATTGGGTAGGCTAAATTGTCCGTAGTGTATGAGTGTGTGTGTGAATGTGTGTGTGGCTGGAAGGGCATCTGCTTCGTAAAAACTTGCTGGATAAGTTTGCGGTTCATTCCGCTGTAGCGACCCCGGATTAATAAAGGGACTAAGCCGACAAGAAAATAAATGAATGAATGATTGATTGATTGATTGATTGATTGATTAATTGGTTTGTTAGTTGGTTGATTCATTCATTCATTTATTCATTCATTCATTCATTCATTCATTCATTCATTCATGTTTTATTCATTGGTGGTTGGTTGGTTGGTTGGTTAGTTGATTGATTGATTGATTGATTGATTGATTGATTGATTGATTTCATTCATTCATTCATTCATTCATTCATTCATTCATTCATTCATTCATTCATTCATTCATTCCTTTATTTATTCAGTCGTTCAATGATTGATTCATTGATTCATTTATAGATTCATCTATTAGTTGGTTGGATGGTTGGTTGGTTGGTTGACTGATTGATTGATTGATTGATTGATTGATTGATTGATTGATTGATTGATTGATTGATTGATTGATTGATTGATTGATTGATTGATTGATTGATTGATTGATTGATTGGTTGGTGGGTCGGTTGGTGGGTCGGTTGGTTGGTTGGTTCATTCATTCATTCATTGACTTTTAGAAGAGTATTAATAAACTGTTGCGTTAAGGTTTGTAGAATAATTCAGTATATATATAATTATATATATATATATATATATATATATATATATATATATATATATATAGGGATGCACAATATATAGTTTCAATATCAACATCACAATATTTGTATCCACAGTAGTCAGACCAGTATTATAATTGTCCAGTAGCCACATTTAAAAACACTCATGATTTTTCATTGCAACGTTCAATTGCAACGTTTTCCAATATCGTGCAGCCCTATGTACAGTATACTTTTTATTTTGAATTTTGTGGCTAAATGCTGTGGCATTTTTTCCTAATCATATAAAGGTACTAAAACTTTATTTATGTATGTTTTAGGGCCTGCGACTGTGAGCAGTTTTTAAAAGTCTCATCTTTTTTAGAAGTATTCAAGCATAAGAAATTACATCTCTAACTTTATTAAAAATTAATTGTGTTTGAGTAATTATTCAATGAAAACTATACAGTTTCATTTCACATTTGATTAATAAATTTGCTTATCTGAATATTGTTCATCATTGTTGTGCTCTATTTATTGATGCTTGTGATTGGATTATTATATCTTATGCAGATGCTCTCTATGAAATTCCCCCAATGTATCTAAAATTATGAATTCTTTGAAAATAGACCTATTCATTTCATTTGGTAAAATTATACTTAGTATCGCAATATAAATTGTAGAAAAATGTAATATCACAATGTCAGATTTTTTTTTAATTACCGAGCAATGTACAGATTTTTTTTCATTGTAATATTGTGTGGATGGCATTTTTTCTAATCACACTGTCTAATGAAATTAATGAAATTGGTTCTTTTTGATTTTCCCTCAGGACTACACGTTGACCATGTATTTCCAACAGTACTGGAGGGACAAGCGGCTGGCATATACTGGGATTCCTCTTAATCTCACTTTAGATAACAGAGTAGCTGACCAGCTCTGGGTTCCTGACACATATTTCCTAAATGACAAAAAGTCTTTTGTACACGGCGTCACAGTGAAGAACCGCATGATCCGCCTGCATCCAGATGGGACAGTTCTTTATGGATTAAGGTAAGATTGAACTGATCACATAACCAGGGCTATTAACAGAGTGGGGGAAAACACAAACCAGATTTACTGACAACTACTCTCAGCATTTACTTAAGAAACACAGTAAAAAAAGTCACCAGTAAAAAAGCATGGACACCGTTATTTTGACTGGCCTCGTTACACTTTTTTTAACTTTCAACATTTAAATGAGAAGATTTAATGAATCACCCAACATTATTCATTATATGATTTTATATGTCATTATAATCATTATATGATTTTTGGGAGTCAATTAACTTGTGTTTGTGTCATTATTTACCAAATAAAAGGCATTTCTTAGCCAGTCTTGCACTTACATTGTTGGATCACACCTTATAGTCATCGACTCTGCTTGTTTACAATCTAATTTGCGCTGCTCTTGGTAGATTGTATTTATCATTATGCAAATCAGATGCTGCATCTGTTTTTTTTTTTTTTCATTTTCACATTGTCAGTACAAACACCAGCAATTTTAAAAGACTCCGCTCACACAAACAAAACACGGTTTTAATTAAAAAAAATATTTTGTTTAATGCTTTTGAGATACCTCCTCGTCCTAACTGCAAAAAAATAGAATTTTGTGAAAACAGCATGGATGTTTATTTTATGTTTATATGTAGACAAAAATGGTGGATTACAGTAGGACCTGATGTGCACAGATGCTTAGTGATTCTTTACAAAAATAATAAAAAGTTTGGTAAGACTTTTTTTTAAGTCACAGTTTATGCTAATAATAAACCATTAACTAAGACATTTAGCTCAATAAACTACTAATTAGCTGTATTTTAACAGTTAATAAGAAAGTAGTAGGATCATAGACTGTAAAAGATATGGACATAGTATCTGTAACATCACCCTTAGGTTTCTGAAGAGCGCAAATGAAGCTCCAAGTAGGCGTGGCCAATCGTCACCATTTTGTTTGTATGTCAGCACACCAACCGGGGGTGACCAAATAAGGGAAAAGAGGTGGAGTGTCAGTAGAGCTACAGAAGCCTGTTAGCATTTTGTTTAGACAGGCTTTTCTTTTGAGAAACGCTTAATACTTCATTACTCGTTGATGTTCTGAGAACATGTGGGTTGAATACAATATCAATAAAGTGTTTAGTCTTTTAAAAACACTATTGTAATACATTGAGCCACTGAGCATTGTTTTATGACATTTTTCTACAAGAGGAAAACGCGAATTACTTTCAAATACTTCAAATACCTAGCTCAGTCACTCAAGTGGCCACGCCCTTAATTATGCAGACTTAATATAACTTAATAATAACTAAACAGATGAGTTATAAAAAAAAAATTCACCCTCCTCACAGTTGTCGTAAACGGTAATATTTAATATATACACCAAAACCAACTTTTGTACCAGGCTGTAAAATTGGCCAATTTAGTATTGTAGTCAGTGAACATTTGGAGTCGAAAAGCGAGTCGATGAATTGCAGTTTCAGTTACTTCCGTATTGGCTTTACGATGGAGAGTGGTATGTTGCTGCTTGGGTAGGATTAGAAATGTAAATAAATAAAATAAATTTTTATTAATACAGTTGAATTACACTGTATTTATATTCAATATAGCGATTATAAGGCAAGGCAGTGGCGCAGTAGGTAGTGGTGTCGCCTCACAGCAAGAAGGTCGCTGGGTCACTGATTCGAACCTCGGCTCAGTTGGTGTTTCTATGTGGAGTTTGCATGTTCTCCCTGCCTTCGCGTGGGTTTCCTCCGGGTGCTCCGGTTTTCCCCACAGTCCAAAGACATGTGGTACAGGTGAATTGGGTGGGCTAAATTGTCTGTAGTGTATGAGTGTGTGTGAATGTTTCCCAGAGATGGGTTGCGGCTGGAAGGGCATCAGCTGCGTAAAAACTTGCTGGATAAGTTGGCGGTTCATTCCGCTGTGGTGATTAATAAAGGGACTAAGCCGACAAGAAAATGAATGAAAGAACAGCGATTATAAATTATTTTGCTATTAAAAGCTACAGCATCTGGAATATAGTTTGTTTGTATTTCAAGTCTGACAGTATGTAGCTTTAGTGGACACAGATCATGCCCTATTTTGGTCAGCGCACTCGTCTACTAAATTGCATAAGTGCTAATGTGTGCCTTTATCTTGTTAAAACCCTTTAGTGTTATCAGAGTGTGATCCTGAAGCGTGCGGAAGAGCAGGGTTTGCCTTCATCCTCTGTACCAGCTGGAGTGCACTTTCAGCCAGTTACCATGGCCTAATTTAGCCTTCCGTTTTGTTCCAAATGAGATCCCGTGGACTAATGCAGCCATATGCTAATGTATGGTTCTTGCATAAAAAAAGTTTATTGAACCATTTCCGTCATTTTATGATTTATCTCCTCAAGCTCGAATGAAGCATCAGCAATCCACTGAACATTATTTTACAGTTCATCTAGGGAGTTCCCCCGGTTACATTGTAGTTTGACGTGGAGATAGTGTGGACGGAGGGCTTTTATTTGTTTGCCAGAGCTGGGCGCTTGCATATTTATGGTGGGCTCTCATTAAAATGGCTCTGAAGATGGAATGAAGATGCTCGGTTTCCTTTTATTTGCCAGCTTCAGGAAGAAAGGACCTCAGAAATACACAGTAGCAACAACCCATTGCAAAGTATTGTTATGTGCCCATGCCAAAATAATTTGTGGTGTTCCTTACAACTAAATCAAGGGGGGACCGAAACATTGAATTGCTGCTTTAGTTTGTTGTTATTGAAGGGATACAAAAATCTATTTAAAGAAATGGTTCACCTACAGCAGTGTTGCCTAAGTGAGGGACACAAGTCAATGAGTGGGGGTCGCTTGGTGATATCCAAAAGTCTCATGTATATTATTAAACTATTAGAATGATTTTATCCATAGCCGACAGAAGATATAATAGTATTTAAAAGTTACAATAAAAACAACAACATGGAAGTGAAAAGCCATCAGCCTTTATTTATTGATTTTTTTTCTCATTGGATTATGACCCCTGGGTTGTTTACATTATATTAATGACGTAGCAATATTGTCAGAAGCAGTAGATTGATTTTATGGCACAATGTTAAACTTTGACACCTTTACACACTCACGTACATTAAGAAAGGCCACAGCTGAACATGAAGGATGACCTCCAAATCAAAATCTACAGTTTAAGTCAGAATTATTAGCCCCCCTTTGATTTCTTTTTTATTAACTATTCCCTAAATGATGTTTAACAGAGCAAGGAAATTTTTACAGTATGTCTGATAATATTTTTTCCTTCGGGAGAAAGTCTTATTTATTTTATTTCGGCTAGAAGAAAAGCCGTTTTTGTTTTGTTTTTTCGAACAATTTTAAGGTCAAAATTATTAGCTCCTTTAAGCTAATACTTTTTTTGATAGTCAACAGAACAAACTGTCATTATACAATAACTTGTCTAATTACCCTAACCTGCCTAGTTAACCTAATTAACCTAGTTAAGCCTTTAAATGTCACTTTCAGCTGTATAGAAGCGTCTTGAAAAACATGTAGTAAAATATTATTTACTGCCATCATGGCAAAAAAATAAATCAGTTATTAGAGATGAGTTATTGAAACTATTATGTTTGGAAATGTGTTGAAAATCTCTTCTCTCAGTCAAACAGAAATTGAGGGAAAAAATAAACGGGGGCTAATTTAGGGGGGCTAATAATTCTGATTTCAACTGTAGTTTCTTTTGGTGTGTCTGCACATTCTGTGCAGTGTTTGTATGTTTATACCTTCGAGGATAGTGGGGATCACAAGTTATTTTGGGGGTCGCGGGATAAAACATTTGGGAACCCCTGACCTACAGTATAAGGGTAAAAATTCTATTACTCATCCTGGCATTGTTCCAGTGCAGTGCACCATTATTTCTTTTTCAGGTCATAAATGAAAGGAATTTTAAAAAGGGTTCTGTTTGCACTTTTCAACAAAAACAAGGCTGAACACCCACTTTCCTGACTTTTTTTCAAACCAGAGGTGTGAAAACACCCCAATGAGACAAGGGGTTTTATGACCTTGTTTGGGGGTTTCATGGCCCTGTTTACACGAATACTTTTTCATTTTAAAACGTATAAGTTTTTCTACGGTTATGCCTTCTGTCCACACTACCCTGGAGTTTTCAAACGCCGAAAATTGAGCTTTTAGAAACGCTGAAGAGGCCCTTTTCATTTTAAGACATTGTAGACATTTACCTGATTGGGGCTTTTCCTCAAAAGTAAGTAGCCTACAAAGTTCAGTCTTGTCTCCTTTTCTTAAGTACAAACGTATATATATATAAGTGTCATATATATATAGTTATAAAGTACACTGTTCCCTTTATAGATTTACCCGATGTGTCCTCAGGAGTTTGTTTTCCATATCAAACTTGCGAAGTCTGAACTTACAAGGACAGTATGCAAGACTGAACTATGTGTACTTGATATTGAGAAAAAGCCACAATTAGATAGGCAAATGTCTGCAGCCATGCATCCATTTTTCCCCATCCACACGACACAGAGCAGCAGTGTTTTAAAGCCAAAACGCCCTCTTCAGTGTTTCCAAAATGCTCAGTTTCAGGGCTCCAAAACTCCAGGATTAGATGGACGGAAGCCGCAACTGTAGCAAAACCTATGTGCTTTAAAACTAAAACATATTAGTGTAAACGGGGGCTGAATAAAGGCTGTTCTTCAAGGTTTTTCCAAGGCTACAGATCACACAGAGTCAGTTATAAAGAAGTTTGTAACTGTAAAAACCTCTTTGTTTGGAAACCCCTGCCATCGATGACTTTAGGAAACTCCAACCACAGCCCTGCATTTGTCCAGATAAAATTATAAGGACTGGACATGATCTCATTATTTGTTACCAGTAAAAGAAATCGATACCTGGACAATATCCTTACCTGGATGAGAAACCAAAGCTCACTTTGAACGTTCATTGATATTGACTCGCAAAGGACATTTGTCATCACATCTTAGCCTAAGCTCACACTCGCAGCAGTGACATGATGAATGGAGTGAGATGAGATGCATGACAGCATGCAGTATAGCGCTAGTCAGTAGCCACTTTAATGCAACAAAAAAGCGCATTTTCATATATTCAGATGCGCACTTGTTCATGTCCACTCATGCATATGCATGCTTTGTGCTATATTTGGTTCAAAAGCCTTTTGAAGGGCAGAAAGAGCCATATTTAAATACGCTCCATCTTCCTGATCTTGTTTACACACAAGTTTGCAGTGTTATTTAAAGAGCGATAGATGAGCTGTGAGCACCTGAATGTACAGAACTGGGGCTTTGATTTTTCTGTGACGTACATGCGTGTGTGTGTTTGTTTCTGTGCTTCCAGAATCACTACGACTGCTGCTTGCATGATGGATCTGAGAAGGTATCCATTAGATGAGCAGAATTGCACTCTGGAGATTGAGAGTTGTAAGTGTTCTCTCTCTTCACTCGTCTACACATTTCCTGCTGCAAAGACCAGCATACATTACCATGCTGTTCCAAGCTGGTTTATACTGGTCAGTGCTAGCAGAGTCATGCTGTTCAATAACAGCAAAAAACATAACATGAAAATTCAGCTTCATTATAGGTTCTGAATGGAAAATATGCTTTTTATTTATGCATTTTATCGTTTTTTTTTTTTTCAAAAGTTTGCCTATAAAAGAGTCTGTAATATTGGCAGTATTTATGAAATAAATCACTTATGCTCACCATGGCTGCATTTATTTGATCAGAAATACAGTAAAAACTGTGCTGTTGTCAAATATTATTACACTTTATGTTACATTTTATTTAAATGATTTCAAACTCAAGATATATTTTATTTTATTTTATTTTATTTTATTTTATTTTATTTTATTTTATTTTATTTTATTTTATTTTATTTTATTTTATTTTATTTTATTTTATGTACTTACTCCCAGGACCATATTGAAGTTGATAGTTGGCTGCACTATGTTGATGTTTCGTAACATCTAATTTTTACTAGGGGGATCAATAGCCCAATGCTCATTATTTTATATAATTGTATAATTTTATTTTATTTCATTTATTTTTTATTTTTAAATGTATTTTTTTATTTTATTTTTACTTAATTCCTTACTTACTCACTGGGCCATTTACATTGAGATTGATATTTGGCCGCACCATGTTGGCGTTTCATACCATCAAATTTTTACGAGGTGGGTCGTTAAACCAATGCTTATTATTTTATTTTATTTTATTTTATTTATTCACAGGGCCGTTTATATAGAAGTTGATATTTGGCCTCACCATGTTGGTGTTTTGTAACATCTGATTTTTATGAGGTGGGCCGTTAGCCCAACGCTCGTTATTTTATTTTATTTTATTTTATTTTATTTTATTTTATTTTATTTTATTTTATTTTATTTTATTTTATTTTATTTTATTTTATTTTATTTTACGTACTTACTCCCATAGCCATATCTTAGTTGATATTTGGCTGCACCATGTTGGTGTTTCAGAACATCTAATTTTTACGAGGTAGGTCATTAGACCAATGCGTATTATTTTATTTTTATTTTATTTTATTTACTCACAGGGCCGTTTATATCAAAGTTGATATTTGGCTACTTTCATTATTTTATTTTATTTTAAAACATATACTATTTTGAGAAAACCATGATTTATTATTAGGATACTTTGTGTAATAAGTGCACTTGAAACAAATATTTTGAAACATTATAATTGCCTTTACTGTCATTTTCATCAATTTAATGCATTTTTGCTAAATTAAAGTATGAATAAATAACGTAGAAACTGTATTGACTCCTAAAATCTGAGTGTAGCTAAAAATTCAACATTTTTATATGATTATAAGGTAGCTTCCTCCAGGTATATCTTTGTTTACTCCAAGTGCCCAAGACACAAACTTTCTCCCAGCCTCTACTGATGGACTGAATCTTGAACGAAGCCCATAACTGTTTTGTAAACAAAAGCATCACATTATGTTGGTGCTCTTTAACTTATGTAAGTAATCCACTCACTTTGAACTGTCATTTTTGATCACATCACTGATTCAATACATAGTTCAGTTTAGTTTACTGTCCAAAATTTCAGTCAAAAAAATAACTAGGCATCAAGTATGTGCACTTGTTCGAATACACCCTAATACCAACATCAAGCTCATTATAGTTTACAAACACAGCAATGCCGGTATGAAATAGAGCAGTCTGTGTCACAGTGGGAAATCTGACCCCTTACAGCTTCTCACACTCGTACAAAAACAGATGCTCATATTCATGATTATGCTAACAATGCACTTGTGATTTTTTTAACTACTCTTCAGCGTATGCTACACATGCTAATTAGGAAAAACAAATGCTATTTCCAGGAACTGCACCACCTAGGTTTGACAGTGCAGGTGAAGTTGACTTAAAAAAACAAACTAACAAACATTGCCTTTAATGTCATTTTAATATTACAATTAAAGTGTTAGTATAATATTATAAAAAAAATATTATAGTATTATAATATAATATTAAATTATAATATACTATTGAATTATAATATAATATAATATAATTTAATATAATATAATATAATATAATATAATATAATATAATATAATATAATATAATATAATATAATATTATATTATATTATACAATACAATATATAATATAATATAATATAATATAATATAATATAATATAATATAATATAATATAATATAATATAATATAATAATATGATATAATATAATCTAATATAATCTAATATAATATAATACAATTTAATATAATATAATATAATATAATATAATATAATATAATATAATATAATATAATATAATATAATATAATAACAAATAATATCAAATAATATCAAATAATATAATAATATAATATAATATCAAATAATATAATATTAAGCACTGAAATAGAATTTCTCACTAAAATATTGATTGTGATTTTATATTAGCTCTGCATTTGTTATATATTTAGTCCAATAATGGATCATTTACTCTTTGACTGATCTAATTTATGTTTGTATTGTAGATGGATACACAACAGATGACATCGAGTTTTACTGGAAGGGAGGAGAAACCGCAGTGACGGGTGTGTCACGCATCGAGCTCCCGCAGTTCTCCATCGTTGACTACAAACTTGTGTCCAGAAATGTTGTCTTTTCCACAGGTAAAGTAGCAAAACACGTTGAATTTATGGATGCATGGTATAGGGCTGCACAATATATTGTTTCAGCTTTGACATCATAATAAATTTGTCGCTATAGTCACAAATGCACGCAATTTGTGGAGTCGATGCAAAGTATAACCTTACCAGAGTGAAACTTTATCATTTGCATATGTTTCAAAAGCATTTCAGGAGAGTTTAAAGCATTCATAACATTTGTAACTTTAATGAAGAATAATTTTGCTGAATTATTAATACAGTGAAGACTAAACAATGTATTTTTTACATTTCATTGTTCAATTTCTTTACTTGAATACTAATTAACTCTCTGAAAACCATATAGCAGTGTTTCTTTGACTTTTTTCTTTGGTCTATTGTAATTATTCTTGCCATCTGTTTATTTATTTTATTCACATCCTTACAAAATCACCTCAATCAATCTAAATTAAATATTTTTTTTCCAAATAGAGCTATTCAAGTCATCTGGTGAAATTGTATTCATATCGCAATCTATATTGTAGAGAAACAAAATCTCGCAATGTCAGATTTTCCAATATTGTGCAGTCCTAGTACAGTATATGCTTTGACTGTTGTTGCAGAAGTAGCTGAGGCATGAGCTGCACAGGCACCGCCCTTTTCTTGAAAGTGGGAGGGGTTGCAACAGCTCATTTGCATTTAAAGAGACACAAAAACATATATGCTTTCACTCAAAAAGGTGGCATTAACCACATGGTATAAAAAATATTCAGTGAGATATTTTGAGCTGAAACTTCATCTAAATGTTCTCGGGACACCCTAAGACGTCTTGTCAGAGGAATAATTAGGCCTATTTAATATGCTGATTTAGTTCAGCATGAAAAAGCCTCAAAGGGATATTTCATCCAAAAATGCTGCCATCATATACTCACTCTTTACGTGTTCATTTGAGTTTCATTCTTCTGTTGAACACAAAAGAGGATATTTTGAAAAGTTGCTGGCACCCATTTACATGCATTATTTTTGGCCAACTATTAAGGTCAATAAGTACCACCAACCACCATTCATCAAAATATCGTTTTTATCTTTTGTGTTCAATAAAAGAAAGAAACTCATAAGAGAGGTAGAATAATTTTTTTTTATACCTATTACGATTCATAAATTGTAGATTATTTGAAGCACACAGTTTCTAAGCATTTACCAAAGGAAGTACTGGAAAATATAAAGTAAATACAAAGGTTACCATGTCCAAAAAATGTAACTGTATCTATTAATTCTGTATCTAAAACTGATTGTACTCATGTGTAACCTTGCAGACCCATATAGAAAATCAACATTCACGTTTCACATGTACAATCATGTTAAAATCCCATGTCCAACACACATAGAACATAAATTAAAAAGTGATTTTCAGCTGAATAAAAAATCAATTGTTTTAAAATAAATATTTTTCATGTATCATGTGTGGTGGCACGGTGGCTCAGTGGGTAGTAAGAGGTGTCGCCTCACAGTAAGAAGGTCGCTGGTTCGAGTCCTGGCTGGGTCAGTTGATAATTTTGTGTGGAGTTTGCATGTTCTCCTTGTGTTCACTAGGGTTTCCTCTGGGTGCTCCGCTTTCACCCACAGCCCAAAGATATGCGGTATAGGTAAATTGAATAAACTAAATTGGCCATAGCGTATAAATGTATGTGTGAATGCGAGAGAGTGTATGGGTATTTCCCAGTACTGGGTTGCAGCTAGAAGGGCATCTGCAGTGTAAAACATATGCTGGAATAGTTGTTGGTTCATACCGCTGCTGCGTCCCCTGATAAAAAAGGGACTACGGCGAAGGAAAATGAATGAAATTAATGTTTTATGTGTTTTAGCACACAAAACTCACCTGAGACTTGCAAAACTTCCTGTAAGTTGGAATTTTAAACCACTTTGCTTGCAGTTATTATTTATTTTAAATTTTTTGCTTTAGGCATGTTGCATCTGAATAGTCATTGAAGAAATCATTTGCTATAGTTCTTGTTACACTGTCAAAAAAAATTTATTAAATACTAAAATAATAAAATGCATTGTTTTAAGAGTCATGTAATTACATCTGTGAAAACATCCATAGATTAGTTCACAGACACGTGTCATTTTGTAAAACATGATTAGTTGACTTTACTTAATTGAGTAAACCTGTTGCTTTTAAAGCAAATAGTAGACTTAACGTAAATGGTCATTCTGAAACTGTAACTCTATAAACATTTCTGGAGACCACGAATTATGTAGCCAGAGCTACTTATAGCTGCATTTCGTCTTTAAAATGAATGCTATGGGGTGGTATGACGCCATTTTTTTTCTTGCTTACCAGCTGACCACTTAACTCTGTATGGAGTTTACCTGCGGTTACCAGTTTGTTCAGTAGCTTGCCATGTACGTCAGCGGACTTGAGACACAGAGAGGAGTTGACCACGATGAAGGGGTTTGAGTCTGGCTAAAATCCGTTTCAGAAAGCAGATAAGACAAAAACAAAAGCCAAAACATAAAATAAACAAGTAAATAACAGGGTGAGAATGTGGTAAAATCTGAAAACGTGGGTTAAAAAAAGGCAAGGGCTTTTCCTTTTCTGGACAGCTTTTTAAAACTGTCTGTGGGGTTTAGGGAAGTGGATGGAGGGTCAATCTGTGCTTTTGAAAACATTATTGCTTGGGTTTAGGAAAGGAGGAGGCTGGGTCAGTAGATTGGTCAGTAAGTTAGTCAGTCGACAGTGGCTTCTGGTGGATTTACGCTGGAACAAAAGGCGCAAATAGCATTCGCAAGAGAAATTTGAGATCTCAAAAAGTGTACACAGCGGCCTTTGGTGGATTCACAAAAATAAAAACTGCAATAAAAAGTAGCTCCTGGGACGTATTTTGCACTCTCCAGAAATATATATATTGGTATGTTTTCAGAATGAGCCTTGGTTGTGAAAAAGTGAGTAAACCTGTTGCCTTTAATTTTTGAAATAAATGAACTATGTGCGTAAATATAAGAATTTAGTTAAATAAACGTACAAATTCCCTGTTACAGCAGTTTTACTCAGTTTTTTTTAAGAAAAGTCAATATGATGCTTTTAAAGCAACCAGTTTTCTCACTTTTTAAGCAAAATAAATAACAGCATTTTACAGTGCAGGGGGAAAAGTTGAAAGTACTGTAGTTTGCTACAAAAAAAAAATTCCCCTGGTGAAATCTGTGCTCATAAAAAGTCTAAAATCTAAAATTATGAATCAAAAATAAAATTTGTCAAGCTGAAATATTTCTACCAAGTTACTTTTTTTGCTGTGAAGTTTTTCTGCTTGTTCTGTTCAAGACTGATATTATTTGAAAATCTGCCTAATTGGGGCTTGTGCATCAGAAATCTTTCTTCATCACGATAGAACAGACCAGTAATAATGGAGGAGCAATTACCACTCTATTTCCTCAAGCTTCTAAAGAGAAAAGCAGAGATGTAAGAGTGGAGAAAGTGAGAGATGGGGTCGGAGATGGGGAAAAAACAGCCACTTGATATCAGCCATCACATATTCATGAGGCAGAAGACCCACTGCATAAATTATTCTCTTCTAAAACTGAGGCATTCATAGAGGCAGCGCTGTAATGATTATTCCCCATCCTGAATTAATGACACATAGAAGGAGACTGGATATCTTCCGCACGTAGTCAGAAGGATTATGGGAATTGCTAGGTTGTGATTGAGAATGATGTGACTATACTGCTAATGCCGTGATGAGCTTTTTCTAGAGAAAGAGTTGTGAGAATGGAGTGTTTTTTATTCAATGGTTGTAAGTGATGATAGTGTGTAGTTGGGCATAACTAACCAATGGTTATCCACTCGACCAATGGTGTGAGTTTAGGGGTGGGACTTTTTTTGTCTCACATTTCACAAAACCTTCCCACACAAGTCATTTAAGTAATTACTCTGAATTATGTGTAGGTAGTGTAAGTTTATCACGTAAATTGCATCGCATGTTTTTATAGGCTGTGGTGTTTGTACAGGTTGCATAATGTACATCTGTAGGTTGTGTTATATGTGTGTAGGATGTGTGATTTATTCATAGGTTGTGTTCATGTGTGTGTGTGTGTGTGTGTGTGTGTGTGTGTGTGTGTGTGTGTGTGTGTGTGTGTATCTAGGGTGAATGCTTGTTAGGTACATTTTTTTTCCACCTCCATAAATAACTAAGCAGTGATTTCTCTTCCGTAAGCTGCATGGTTCAGATGGTTCTTGTTTATTTTTGCATAATGTTTGTGTTTTAAGGCAGGGTTTCAGTATTTTGGACTGAGGACAGAGGTGACCCATATAGTAATCTGGTACATGGAAATTTATGCAAATTACATATATGATATGTGATAGATATATGAGCAATATCACACTCATAGCAGTAACTGTATATCGACACTGGTGGCAGCCATGCGTTGTGCCTTAGTGTCCCACCTGTGACAATTTACAGCCATATTGCACTGCTACGAGTGTGATATTGCGTTTATACAACAGTTTGATGGCATAATTGTGTAAATAAAAAATAAAATCAAACATGGGGAGTCTAAAAAAGTTTTTGTAAGAGGAACTACTTTCCTCCGCCATTAATTCACATCTACAGCTGACGTCAGAACAGCAGAATCATAACTACTTCACACTTTAGAGCTAATATTTGAATGATTCTCTTGCATAATAACTAAAATGAGGACAAAACAGGGGATTTTGCTGACATTTTAAAATTATAAGGTTGAACAGCATGAAATGCCATCAGTCTACAGAGATTTCTCTGTAATTCTCTGTTGCAATCAAAAGATCACAGTAACCCCAAAGGCCAAATCAGCGCAATAACTACCAGATTACTGTTGTGTTTGTGGTAAGGAAAATGCTAAACACATGCGGGCATTTCTTCTTTCTTTCTTTCTGTTTCCTGAACTAGTCTGCATTAACAAAAACAGGAGACTCATTAGAAACAAACAGATGGTAAACCAAAAAGTAACATAGAGTTATACAGTGAGTAGCCAACACAAAATACATACATGCGAGTTCCATCTTACACTCAATACACTACAATTACTATGGTATAAATACAGCACTGCAACATAAAAATATAGAGATCGACTCATCAATTTTATATTGTTTTGATCAACTGTAGTTTGAAAATACGCCGATCTTTTCTTCTCTAAGGACTTATTTTGCTGTCTCTGTCACCATCTTGTGGATGGACATTGTCAACTGTACATATATATAAATATATATGTATGTATATATATATATATATATATATATATATATATATATATATATATATATATATATATATATATATATATATATATATATATAAAACACATATAACGTTTTAGCTAATATATTTGAACATATATGTTCATGTTTGTAATTGCAATAGTTAAACAGTTTGCAAATATGTGTAGGTTTTTTTATACATGTGGCATATATGACATATTTTTATATGTAAAATGTTTGTGAATTTTGTTTTTATTTTGTTTTGTTTTTTAGATCAGTTGTTACCTTAATTAATCTTATGTTGTGTTGTAATTGGATGTTCTGTCTTGGAACAAAAAACTAAGCAAAACAAATAATACTCTCAAAATTCAAAAATGAGTAAAATATAATTCTGTTTATTGAACTGATCTGATTCTTAGACTCTGCAGAGGATAAACCAAAAGCTTTGATGAAAGAATGAAATTGATGCACAGTTTGATGTTTGAGATTTTGTTGCTTTTAAGGGCTGTGGTACATCTATTTTGCCACGTTAAATTGGCACAAAAAAAAAACATGCTGCAAATAATGCACAATAAACATGTCTGTCAACACAATCTCAAAGTAGGCTTTAGTCTTTCATTAAACAAATCAAAGCGTGAATTACTCATCCACTGTTTTTAAACAGACATCTGCTGGGCATGACTCAATTTAAAGGCACGAATGTAGGCACACAGAATAAATGTGCCCTTGTAAAGGAAAATAATAATATATTAATAAAAAAAAAAATATCTGTTTAAGATCAATTCTTGGGTGGCCATATTGTTTCAGTATATACAATTAACAATTTTGAATGAATAGTATAATATAATAAACATAATATATTAAATATAAAAATCAGTTTTGAGTCAATAATTCCTTGCAGTTTTACTTTGTATTGAATTTTTTATTCAAACTCTTTTAAGTGTCCTAGCGTCTAGCTTTAAACTCACAGATATAGACTGCAAGCCATAAAAGTTCAGTTTTGATTTCATAAGGGGCTTTAACATTTAATGTTTACTCACTATTTCATTCTCTTTTCTTGTCTCCTTTCTCGCGGTGGTGTTTGCGCTCAAGGCTAAGCTACAACAAATCACTTTTTTTTTGTCCACGCCTGCCTGTTGCCATAGCAACAAAATCTAACAGCAGTGCCTGTGCTGCTGATGTAAAATGTAAAGAATTTCTCCAAAGCTTTTTGAAATAAATATCAACCTTCTCTCACTCAAGTCTTCTTATTTACCATTTTCCCTCACACACCTTCCGTTTTTTTTTTTTAACAATCTCTCTTATTAACTTAACAGGTGCCTATCCTCGACTATCTTTGAGCTTCAAGCTAAAAAGAAACATCGGCTACTTCATCCTGCAGACCTACATGCCCTCGATCCTGATCACCATCCTGTCCTGGGTCTCCTTCTGGATCAACTACGATGCCTCAGCAGCCCGAGTGGCATTAGGTAGGCTTTTTATTCATTAGGATGTCCTGCCTCCTTCTGACAGGCTGTACGTCCTCTGTCGTTTCTACTGAGGAAATGCATGCTTTATTTAACAGCGCATTGTTGGATGTTCCAATAACCAGAACGCCGGCATTCGCTATTCTGTTTGAATTGCAACTTTTGCTGTACACACTCCAGGTCTCCTCAGAGTCCTCGCCCTCCCTTTGGTTTACTTTCTCTTGGATCTCGCCTCAAGACACACACACAAGCGCACACACATATACACATACAGATATTGTAGAGGCGCATACATCATTTAACAAGGAATAGGGCAGAGCCAGGTAGCCACAAACCCATTGCTTCTGACACACTGGATGGGCTGCTCAGAGAGACAGAGTGTTCTCAGTGTGTGTCTTTGCTCTGATGTTGTTATTCCAGAATGAGGAGTGACTCAGTTTACTGCCCGAAAGGCTACAGAGGCTCTCCAGCTGCAGTGAGGAGCAGGACACAACAGCGCTGTTTCACAAGCCAGCACAACACAGCCTTTTTTAAAGGCATCTCGTATAGGCATACTCCCTTTGCGGAGGTGGTTTTAAAATCTGGCCATTTCCTAAGGAATCTGTATTGCACCATTCAAAACATGCTATTATAATCTTTCACAAATTTAGTGGTATGGTGAAGACAAGGCAAGACAAGTTTATTTTTCTACCACATTTCATATACAATGGTAATTCAAAGTGCTTTACAGTGAAGCATCACTTCAGCTTTTATTGATCCTGAACTACTGTGGCAAAAATGCCCACTCTCTGTTGAAACAATCTTCAAAAATGTATTGAATTGATTTACTTTGACAAATGTTTTTACTGAAACACAAAATAGTATTTTAAATGTTTACCTATGATAAAAATAATCTTTTAGAAGCAGTTTGGACAGGACTGTGTGCATGTATAGTGTGTCCACAGTTATATCGGCGTGATATAAACACAATAAGTCTCTTATAAAAAAATTCTGATGTTAAAATAGGATCCAAATCGAACCCATTTTGTGGCCCACTGCAACGTGACGTAGGATGGTTCCCCGCCCACTGAATTGATTGACAGCCGAATAATAACACATAATAAGACAGGACGTGTGCAAAGCAACTGGGATAAAAAAGATCTGTTCAGCTCGCTGTGATCATCAGTCATCATTAAATGTGATCAAGAATGAGTTTTACAAGTTTAAAACGCTTTTAAAACAGTGTATGTTAGTAATAAATTACAGTGATTTTACCGTCTTTAACACCACAGTCAAGTATCAGTACAATTGTGGACGTTAAATCAGGTTTATTTTGTACAGTACCATAACAGAAATCCATAAAGCAATGGATATGAATGTGTATTCTGTCACATTTGCCATGGAAAAACAAAAGCTTTGTTACGAACTTGTGTGTGACTCATCGTTGCAGAAAGGCTTGAATTAACTCCACAACAAATACATCAAATAATCTTTGGTAAAGTTCTCGCTGTAGTATTTCTCACAAACGTTACATGAGATCTGCTTCCTTCATATCTGTCAATGTGCTGTTTATCTGATACAGCCAGTGATGGAGACACACAGTGACAGGCACGTGGGAACTGTGGGCGGGAAGAACTAGCATTAAAGGCGCAGGCAACATAAACAGCTACTTTGTGTTCAGAGCAGAAAATTCCAATGTTCTGAAAGGAATAATAAATAATCTAATAGGTGTTTTGAGCTGAAGCCTTAAAGACACATTCTAGAGACACAAAAGACTTATCTTAAAACTTGAAAAAGGGGAAAAATAGGTGCCCTTTAAATTGCAGTAATGACAATATATATACATATAGTCATACATGATTTTTTAAATTGATTGATATGTTATCTGAAATTTGCTTTCCATAGATGTACACTTTTTTATAGGATACTTCATAGGACAATATTTGGCAGAGAAATGGCTATATGAAAATCTAAAATCTGAGCACTCTGAAAACTCTAAATACTGAGAAAATCTTATTTAAAGTTGTCAAAATAAAGTACTCAGCAATGCACATTACTAAATAAAAATTAGTTTTGATATATTAACCAATACATTTACCAATACAATTTAGACCCATACAATCTATTTTGGCTAAGACACTAGTTTTGTAGTCTAGTGTCACATACACTGAACTCACTTTTATAAAAGTAAAAACTACTTTTTTGTTATCAGTTTGTAGAAAATCTACTGCACTTCTTTTTACCCAAAGATACATTTCTTAGAATTATAAGCAGCTTGTTCTATTTTAGTCAGGATGCTGCCTATGACAGAAAGCCAGTTTACTTTGGTTGTGAAACAGAGCCACTGTGAGCTCCTTTCAAACTGAATTTCACTCTCACTGCCTCCAGCCTACTCACTGCCTGTGTGGACACCAGACTATGAGCTTCCACTCCACAGTACTTTTTGTATCCACAATATTATCATCTTAGTCATGTTAAGGCAAGATACTGCTGATGAATAGAGTAAAACAAAATAGTCAAAGTAATAGGTATTATCATAGTTCCCCTGTTGACTGATTACTGTACATTGCAGACATTTTTTTGATATTACACGTTTTATAAAATATTAAGTTTAAATATGCAAATGTATGCATTAATGTGCATACATTACTAGCACAAAAATCTGAACTTGAAAGGAAAGATAAGGTTCACAATTCTTGTTTCTTGTTTTTGACATTAAAATTAATTTTTACAGAGAGAATGTCTTTATCAACTATAATCACAGAAACTACAGTGAACATCAAAATGAAAAAAATATTTTTGTAGAATAAAACTTACTATTCAAAAACAATAAATTTTGTAAGTTCAAAACATGATTCAAAAACAGACAAATATAATTCTTAAATTCAAAACATGATTCATAAATAGACAAAAACAATTCGTAAATTCAAAACATGATTCAAAAATAAACAAATCCAATTCGTAAATTCAAAACATGATCAAAAAATAGACCAATACAATTCGTAAATTCAAAGCACGATTAAAAAATAAACAAATCCAATTCGTAATTTCAATATGATACAAAAATAGACAAATACACTTCATAAATTCAAAACACGAGTAAAAAATACACAAATACAATTCGTAAATTTTGAACATGATTCCTAAATAGACAAATCCAATTCATAAATTTAAAACACTCTTCAAAAATACACAAATTCAATTTGTAAATTTAAAACATGATTCGTTCATTCATTCATTTACTTTTCAGCTTAGTCCCTTTATTAATTTCGGGGTCGCCACAGCGCAATGAACCGCCAACTTTATCCAGCATAAGTTTTACGCAGCAGATGCTCTTTTAGCAACAACCCAACTCAATGTGAAACATTAATACACACTCATACACTATGGACAATTTAGCCTACACAATTTACCTGTACCGCATGTCTTTGGACTGTGGAGGAAACCGGAGCACCAAGAGGAAACTCATGCGAACACAGAGAAAACATGCAAACTCCACACAGAAACGCCAACTGACCCATCCGAGGCTCGAACTAGCAACCTTCTTGCTGTGAGGCGACAGCACTACCTATTGAGCCACCACGTCGCCAATGTGATTCATAAAAGACAGAATTTGTGAATTCAAAACACGATTTAAAAATACACAAATCCAATTTGTAAATTCCAAAATAGACAAATCCAATTCAAAAATTCTAAACATGAATAAAAAATAGACAAATCCAATTCGTACTTTCAAAACACGATTCAAAAATAGACAAATCCAATTCGTAAATTCAAAACATGATTCATTATATGTACAAATTCAATTCATTTGGCAAAATGTTTATGATTTTTACTTGTGAATTCACAAATTGTGTTGTATTTATGAATTGTAAAAATTGTTACTGTAAAACCCTTCAGAATAACAATATGAAATCACTGTAGAATTTGCTTCAAGTGCTGCTGAAGTGGAAATTCGTGGTTCAATACAAAGAAAAAAAAAACTCACTTTGAGAAAACCTTACAAATATGTATTTTAAATTGAAATTTGTGGACACAAGTAAAAAAATGTGGCAAAATAAGCCTTTACAGTGTATTTTAGATGACGTCTTTAGATTTGACTGAAAAAAAAAAACGCGTTATGAAAAACTCAAAATTGACATTTTTTTCTGCAGTGTCGCTTCTTAAATCACAAAGGGCAGTTCAATATTTTTTTTAATTACATGGTTTGCGTGTTTGAAAGTGTGTTAGCTCATGCACCCAGGTGCAGCTCTTTCAGATAGATGTGATATGTTGGTTACAAGCCTTCTTTGTGGAAATTGTCCTCATTAACCATGTTAAGCGGAGAAATGAGAGCACTTTACACTGGGAGGGAAGAGTCTCTTGGGTCCCCCAACACGAATATATACCACCCATCTCACCTGCATCATTACAAGCCCTCCACGCTCGTCCATCTATTTTTCTCTCTTTCTTTTCCTCTTTTGCTTTGTCTTTTTTTACTGTCCTCCCACAACCAGGCAGCCAAATGAAAACAAAGGGATCAATGTAGCTAGAAAACAATTACATTTAACTTCCATTTCAATCCCAAGGCATGCAGCAGCACAGATGAATCTCTGCCTTAAATGCCTCTGTCTCGCCGCCTCCATCCATTCTCTGCAGCCAGCCACATCCGGCCTTAAATCTCGCTCTGCATTACTGCAGCACACTTAAAGAGCTTGGTTCATTTCAGAGAGGAAGTTATCAAATGATGCAAGACCCAAACATATTGAATGATGTGGATGATGTTTCGTTCATGCCTTCCGATTGTTTTGCTGACGTGGTCAGCCTGGTAGGTCTTTTCAGGAGAAGATTATTGAAGATTAGGGTAAGGTTGAAAGACCAAAGCATAGCATATTTATAATCCACATACAGATGTGAATACATCACAAAGTTGACTGGATATCAATTTTTATTATTATTATTATTATTATTATTATTATTATTATTATTATTATTATTATTATTATTATTATTATTATTGTGTATTTCAGGTTCCAGCTTTTTTT